TTTTACCTCATCTGATTCAGACAGGAACTCTTGCATGATGTCACTTTCTCCAATGACTCGGACAGAGCACACTGCAGATGAAACACACATTATATTAGATACAGTTTTTTGTGTGTGTGTGTAAGTGAAATAAAAGTCATTATACAATGTTGGTATGTATGTTTTGGAAAACCCCTTGAATAATCACGTGTTGTTTGTTTGATTTACAATCAACTGTGGCGGCGTTCAGAAGCAAAACTACAAAGCTGTATCTTTGTTCCAAACAATATGGAAGGCAACTGTAAGTGAGTGAACTGTTTGTGTGCTAGCCCTATGAAGAAAGCCTGATTCTCCTTCTCTCTTCCTCACCTTTCTCTAGATATTCCTCCAGGCCTCTGCGTCGTGCATCCAGCTGTTGCTCTGAAAGGGAAAAAGGCCATTTTTCCAGGCAGCTTGGGCAAAGTAAAGTTAGCAAACTCCCTCTTCAGGTTTTGGTGTAGAATCACAAACTCCCGGTAACGCTTGGAGCACAGCTGTCTGCCTGCCATGTACACATTATACACCTGAAAGAGTTAAAGTGGAAAAATGAAAATGAAAAGGCGGTGATCTTTAGTCAGCAGGATAGTATTTATAATATCCAGAACATTAGGTTGCTCACAGACCTGAATATAAATACCTCATGAATGTAACAATTGCATAAGCCTTGAGTTGTGACTGGCTGCGTCCAACTACAAAAACATTTTTATCCATCCAAGTGTTTTTGCACGAGTGTACCCACCACAAACTTTTCATGGTTGAGTTCAGTGTGTTTGTAGCTAGGAACAGAGATGGGCACTGCCTGCTTGTTGGAGTAGTCGTAACAGGAGTGGGCCGACCCGTCGTCTCCGGGATCCAGGCAGTCGGCCTCCTGGGGAGGAACGGACAGCACGGCCAGCACCAGCTCTCGCTCACCGGCCCGGATCAGATCAACCACCTGCTTGTGTGTTGCTCCTTCTACGTTCACCCCATTGCTGTTGAATAAAGAGATTTATATACTAAAAAAACAAAACAAACAAACAAACAAAAAAAAAACAAACCCCAGTAGCTGTCTGTTGTACTAAAATAAAAATAAAGGCGTTCTACATCTCACCTGCTTGTTTTTATTAAGACATACATGTACACTATTTTTATTAATAGAGATTTCGCTACTGAGGTTAAACATTATGTATAAGTAACTTAGATCACTTCTAAATGTTAATGTTTGGTTTATTCAGTGTTTTATTTGTTCCTGGCTAAACCGGTTTGGCTGTGATTAAAGTTAAGCTTCATAACATGTTACTCACAGTTAAATTAAGAGGGGACGGCAGTAAAAACGGACCTGTGCCATCATCAAGTATGCTGGTGTTCCAATTGTACTAATCGCGAGTCCGTGCTCGCGTTCTCGGCAAGTCCGTACTCCCGTGCGGTCTCAGTAAGTCCGGTCTCGCCGACAACGCGAGTACATACTTGCGTACTTAGAATTGAGAAAGGGCCTCATACTTCATGTGGCCTTCATATTAGCTCAAGAACAGTGCATAGAGAACTTCAACAACAACACTCAAGACAGAGCTTATATCTTATCACTGCAGTCAGCCTCTCTGATACTTTTATTCATTTTATTCATTTATTTTGTTTTTATGATCTTATTCTGCTGAAAACACATTTTTATAGATTTTCTTTCTAGCTTTCTGGGGTTTATTTTGTGAGTATGCAGCCATTTGCATCTCTGGAAGTATGTATGTTGGAATGAATGTCTGACTGCGTGGTGAAATATGTGTAATTATCTTTAATGTGTGGCTTTTATTTAAACTGTGAATAACTGTAACTCTGTGTTTTGAAGAGTGCTATACAAATAAAGCTATTATTATTTGTGATTGTTGATAGATCCATCTGTGTTTAGAGATATTATATCTATATCATATGTAGAGATTTTTTTGCTGGCAGTTAGATGCAAGGAGCGGACAGTCGGTGGGGGCCTCAAAGGTGGTGTTTTTCACATATATAAAGAATATAGTGTTCAAAGAAATTGAATGAAAACTTTTTAATCAGACTATACTGTCAAGTCGATGAAACTTCTGGGATATTGATCTGGTCAGTTAATTGGCCGAAGAGGTTGATGATCAATTTTAGCTGCTTTGGTTTTTGTTGGAGAGTGATCCAGATGAGTGTGGTGAACGAATCAGCTTGCTTGGCTGATGGTAGAGAATAGAGATGAAGTATACTAGGAACTAGGAGAAGCACAAGGAAATTACAGACAGGAATTGAATTACAAACTTTCCAGTTAGTAAGTGACCTGCTCTAGCACATGAGCTACAGGAACCCCTTGTCATTGTCATAAATGTCATGGAGAGAGTGCATTTCAACTGAGAATTTTGTTGGTGTATCATACTCTTTGCTCACTTGACCAATTCTATCAACCATTATGAGTGATTAAAAAAGCAAGGGACTGGTGAGCTGTCCTGGGGAGGGAGCATCTGGTGGTTGGGCCTTAGTCCATGAAGCCAAGCCATGCACAGCCCTAACAAGCTATATGAGCCTGCACTCACGTGGGCCCACTACCCATAGGAGGCACCAGGGATTATTGTGTATTGATTGGTGGTCAAGAGCAGGGGCTTTGGTGGACTTATCCCTGCCTGTTGAGGCTGGCTGTTGGGACATGGAACCTGTGTTGAGGAAGGAGCCTGAGCTAGTGCTTGAGGTTGAGAGATAGATACTAACTTGATATGGTCGGACTTACAGTTTGTGCTCTGTCTCCAGGAGAGAAGCTGGACTCCAGTCTGGAGTTACCCTTGGTGAGAGGACTGTAGTTTCCGCTTATGTGCTAAACGGCAGTTCAGAGTACCCAGTCTTCTTGGAATCATTTGGTGGGGTGCTCGAGGGTGCTCCATCTGATGACTCTATTGTCTTACTGAGCTTCAAAACGTACATGTGCAATGACACAGAATGATGATCGAATCCTAAGCCACTAACAAGAAAATCCTCTCAAATGATTTGTTGCACTCATGGTCCTTTCCTAACAATTAAAACAAGAAAAGGTTTTATCTCCCAGCAGGGAATTGAACCCTGGGGTCTCACATGTAACCCTAGTAATGTGTGCCCCATCATGAACAGCTGCAGTACTAAATTTAACCACAACAGTGGACACTTTGAGAGGCTGTTTCATTTATATACACCTTCGTGTGTCAGGTTAAACATCAGACAGCGCTCCTTTGTGGTCAGAGAGGGTATTACATCCATAATAAAAAGAGCAACCACAGATAATTTGAAGATTAAGATCTGTGTTTCTGTGTTTCTTCAAAATCACTACCCTTTCAGCTTGTTTGTGGCCAAAAGTGTCCACCAACAGATTAAGACTGTAATTTCTATTATTTTTATTTTTTGTTGGTTTTTTTTGCCATTTTTTCTGCGTAAAGCTTTTAACTAACGTCAGTACTTTTCATAAATAATAATAATAAATTTTATATATTTGCAGTTGTAACCCAGCAGAGAAAACCGCATATGTTGTTATTCTTTCTTGGTTTCTTTTTATTTGTATAAATGTATTTTCATTCTTTTATTTTGAAAAGCAACATTTATTTTGGAAGTGTGATCTTCCAGCAAACTTTATTTTTGTTGCCAAATCACAAGGGGTAAATGCTTTTTTTTCATTGGTTGAAAGTGGTTTAGCCCCGTCTTCCAAAACACCAGAGCTAGGTCTTTTCGCATGTGGAAGTAGATGATACAGGCCACGGATAGCTCGTGCGGAATTTTCAAACACATGGGCTCAACTCACCAAAATGTTAGAAAATTCCGCAATTAGATGAAAAAAATTACATTAATATGAAAAAAAATATATTATTAAGATCACTAATAAAAAAAGTCCTCTCTCAGTGTACTTTCAACCAAAAGGCAAATAACCAAACCACATGAACATCTAATAAAAGATATAAATATTGAAACACTGATCCAACATTATCCTTTATTGACGGATCATTTGTTTTTACACTCTATGCTTTTGTTGTTAAAATGTTACGTCTCAACCAAGTACTGAATGCTTTTTATATTTTTAGCAGTGTGTCACACATACAGTAAATATTGTCAAAAAAGTAAGAAATCTTTGGGGTGCTTTGATTCATTTTGCTGAAGCACCCCCAAAAATGGGCTAAAATCGCCCCTGATGAAATGTAATTATTAATACAATATGCATCATGGAAAAACAAAAGCTGAAATTGATTCACTTTAGTACTTTTCTCTGTGTGCTCTGTGATTATAAAGGCCTTAAATGTTGTGATATATACTGTAAATGATTTTCACAGACGTCTTAAAGAAGTTAAATCACTGCTGATAGTCTGGTTGTTTATATTTTCACATTTTTGTGTCTGTAGGGCTGTTTAATGACGATTTGGACTCCTCTGGGAGATGAGGACACACCCACATCTGTTCCATACTGCAGCCATGGATGGTGTTACAGCTCTGAGTCAACTTTGGTCCTTCAGACCCACACACTGGAAAACCAGCACCTGGACTTCATGCAGGAGAGACGGCCTCAGTGATTCAGGTTCATAAGCGAGTTCAAACATTTCTGTCCTCTTATCACTTAGATTCCTTAATCTTAAAAGTGAATGCATTTAAAGCAGGAACTGCACACCTAGCCATCAGAAGTTTGGCAGCATGAGTACTGTAAAGTTTTGTAGAGTCCTTGTTAAAAATTCCACAAGCACCACTCCACATTTGTCATATATAGTTCCATTTTGTACAGTACATTGTTGAAATGATAAACTATATATTCTATTTATCCACTTGTCAGTAATTTTTGAATAAATGGATGTCAATGATAAATCAGTGGTGATTCACCTGCAAATGTTTTTAACAAACTTTGTTTTTAGAGAGAAAACGAGAGAGCAACGACCACTCATTAAGACCAGCCAGAAACCTGTTCCTGTCTGGCAGCTGTGGAAACTTCCAATAAGAAGGTTTAATTCTAATTGAATTCTAATTCTTAGAACAATGCTGGGTCATGTGTGATGTGTCATCATATGAGGATATTACATTTTGACTTAATTCTGTTCAATTAAGTGTTTTGATCGTATCGTTGATCCAGTATGGCAGCTTGCTGTTGTGCTGCAAATTAAAAACCATTGTCCTCATGAGCACAGCATCTAACAACTCTCCTTAAAAAAGTTGATTGACTTTAACTAGACACAGTGGTTTCCACTGGGAGATATATTCATCACTCATCCGTGACACTAGAGAAGTCACCTGGATGAGTGATAAAACAATTTTCCATGGAAAATCCAGAGGAACTAAACTTTGTTGTTGTTTCTTTGGGCTCAATTTCAGCCTCTGGAGCATCTCTCAGAAGAAAACGGTTTT